CTGATGTTTAATTCTTGAGCCTAGGAGGATGATGTGCGGTATTAAAAGGCTGTACATAACAGAAAATTGTATAGAACAAATACAGTGTATGTATGGTGAGAACATTTGTTGTGATGGTTTTTATTTTTTTGGTGAAAGAAGTTGGAATTGTTTCTTGACCAGGGTTCCACAATTTCTCTTTTTATGGTCAGACATATTTCTGTCTTCCTGAAACAGTTTCAAGAAATTAATTTAGGCACTGCAATAATGCTACAACTTGATGAAGGAACCAAGTGTGAATTTTTTGCTCATCGAGGAATGTGTTTAAACGATTTTTTTTTTGGAACAATCCGAACATGATGAAGTGACTGAATTTTCACATTTTTGACAGATATTTTTGCACAGGAATACAAGTACATGTACTTGACAAAGCATCAAAGAGCTTCGAATAGAGCTCCTTGATAGCATCAGTGTACATGTTTACAAAACATTCATTCGAACAGTTTTGTACTGAATGGGACCTTACCAATGCCAATTCAATTGTGTATTCTTTCTTTGGCCTTTGTACATTTCAAAGAATATGTTTTTTCCAAAATGTATGCGGCAGTTGCTATGACTTAATTCAAACTGTAACCAACGCCGTAAGGTTTTGATAACCACCCCCTCTGGTGTACCGTACATTGTATCCGGCCATGTATCCATGTACCTATTCACAGTATCCCGTTGAAAACTGGGCCAAAACACAGCCACAACAAACAAAGCCTTAGGCGTGGTGCATCATGGGAGCCCCAGGGGGACACGACCAAAATTACCACAATTAGGGCCAATCAATTCTCACCGAGCTGATGACTAGGTTCAAATTAATTAACCTAATCTACTAAGCAATTATTAGACCGTGCAATTAAAAATTGTGCGTTGTAAACAAACAATAAAAGATGAAAATTTGCAGTGTATCGTTTGGAGGCTTTCCACCCCCTTGGCCTCGATCATGGACTAGTCCAAGTTTAATCATGGCGACCTTCGGTTGTGCAGGAAAGTCTGGCGACAAAAACACTCCAAAATTAACGGATTTTGACGGAGAACCTCCTTAAGAAAGTTCGGGACACGTCGAAGAAGCCAGCGGGCAGCTATTTGTCAAGAAAGTTGTAGTAAAGAAGGTAAGATACTGAAGTTAGCTCTGTTTTCTTGAGAGAGTAAAGCTTATCCAGGATAATTTGTTGGGTAAAGAATGTTCGTTCGGCGCTCTTTCATCAGGTGGCCTGACCCGTAACACCCCTCCCTCCTGGACCGTTTCTTAAGTATCACTATTTGTGTAGAAGCACAAAAAATAACAAGAGAAGAAGAACAGCTTTTAACAGAAGTACAGCACAAGTTTGGGTCGATATTAAAATATTCAGAGTCGATATGCAGATCGCCAACCTTGCTAGCGACAAGGGGCAGTGGAGGGACCTTGCAGTCGCCTGCGCAGCAGCCGACCGATGATGATGATGCTAAGTTCACAAATATTTGTGCCTTTTGTTGTTCTTGGGATATTGTTGTGTTTAGTAGTAGTTACTATATGTTTAAACATTTAATCGTCTCAGCAGACTTAAATTTCATGATATCATTGATGTTACCAACTTGAGACAATTATTCACAAGTTGAGATCAAGCAAGGATGTGCCTTAAGTTAGGGTCATAATTCTTCTTCATTATTCAATTCTTAAACATGGTAATGTTAAATGATTAAAACACCATACTTATGATGCAGGACATCTCTTTCACCAACTTTTCAAGGAGTGCTATTGTACCAATTAAGTCCCAATAATATGATAAGGAAATGAGCTTCATGTTACTAGTAACTTAACTTACTAAACTGATGAACAAGTCTTCCAAAAATAATTTTTCATTGATTTGGTAGAAATAGGATATTTGGATTTCTTCTACACAACAAAAAAGTGCCACCTACATCGGTTATATGTATATATAATAACGTTAGCGGCGAGAAGCAGTGTGCCAGTCAGAAGCTCTGAGGAAGGTGTCTGATGGATACAAAAATGTAAGCAAGGTGAGAGACATTACTGGTTGTGTATTAATAAGAAAATCCCAAAATCCAATGAAATAAAAAAGAAAACTAGACAGGCTGACATTTGCTTAGGAGCAAATACAGCATATTTCAGTCCATTTCCCAGGAGTCCCGAGCAAAAGTGGACTAATTTATAAGAAAATCTCAAAATCCAATGAAAAAAAAAGAAAAAAAGAAAACCCTCTGAATTTAAGACTATAGTGTAATGTTTCATCTCATTTGTCTTTGAAGAATTAACTGGTGACAAGATGGAGGAATGCAGCTTCATCAGTAGCAAACAACTCATCAGGACTAGACCTTAGAAGAGGAGATCTCACGATGGCCAACATCAGGACCTACTGCCGCGTACGTCCGACAGAGCGCGGATCGGAGTACGTGGACAGCTCCGGTAACACGGTCGCCATCCAGGTCCCCAACACATCCATATTCGCTGACTCCGGAGTGCGAGGGAGTCTGTCACACTCCTTCAAGTTTGACCAGGTGTTTGACGGACAGGTGTCGCAGGAGGAGGTCTTCGACTGTATGGCTAGGGACATTGTGGAAGGTGAGTTATTTACATTGCTTAAGGACACTTAAATGATTTATATACTGCACTCATACTCTGTGGGAACGAGTTTTCTGCGCGTGAAGAATTTGCGCGTGAAAAACTTGCGCATGAAAAATTTGCGCGTGAAAAATAAAAGTCTTAAAAATATGTTAGAAAATATGCAGTACCAAATTCTTAGGCAGGAAAATGTTGTCCTCTGGCATAATTTTCCCTCTGTTAGCCAAAATTTTTGTTTGAAAATGTTGGTCCCTTGGGAATAAGCTAATTTGCATAATGTCCATAAAACCTGACCTTTTGAAAATCACTTGAATTTGTAAGAAATACATGGAAAAGTTACTAGTATGAGGTTTAGGATGGTAAAATGTAACAATCTGAAGCTTTTCTCCATTCTAGAAGTTTGATTTCATGCTTTCTTAAACAAATTCTTTCACGCGCAAATTTCAACCTTTTTTGCGCGTGAAAACTTTACCTTTCAAAATAACCTGAAATCACAAAAAATGGACAAAACAAGGGTATGTAGTCTAGAATGCAAGCAAAATGATGTTAAATTTTTATTTTCTTGTCTTTTTTCCAACTTTTAAGCTTAAAACAGCAAAAAGGTTTCAAATCCCTTGGGAGTCAGCTAATTTGCATATCTTCACGCGCAGAGTCTTCACGCGCAAGTTTTTCTCGCGCAAATTTTTCACGCGCACAAAACCCCATCTCTGCTCTGTGACTTACTTACATTCCATCCTAAAGTTTCAAAGTGAAATCAATCCAGCTTTGTTGTACAATAGATTAAAAGCAAATGAATTTTGTTCTAAATCTTTTAAGTTTGAGCAGTCACCTTTCTTAATTTAACCATTTTACTCGAAACTTCTGATGCTTTGTAAATCTTTCTATTAGTTTCTCTGTAAAATCTAAAGGAATTAATCAGTCAATGAATCAACTTCATTGTGCAACAATTGTAACAGATACTATAAATGGCAAGTTGGTATAAAAAAAAATAAATTGCTCATTACATGAATACTAAAACAGTATATCCTCCCTCTCAGGCTTCCTTGCTGGGTACAATGGAACCATCTTTGCCTATGGCCAGACAGGATCAGGGAAGACCTACACTGTGGAGGGGGGTGCCAGGAGGTATGCCGACAGGGGGCTGGCTCCAAGGTAAGGCACAAATTCTGTACTCAAGATCATCTTAGATTTTCCCAACTGGGGCTGCTTTTTACTATTTTTGCACCAAAAGTTGGGGATGAGATTTGTATTTATTTGGAGAGGAGAAGGTAAAACTTACTAAAAGCAACCAGGCAAAAATGATCCTTCTGTATTTTCATTAAAGTTGTTGTTGATTGAGCATTGAGAGGCCATAGCCCCTACCGGCTTTGGGAGGTGACTCAGGGAAGAGTTAAAAATGTGCCAAATAGTGAGATTGCCAGGGAAGTTGGTCTGCTAGAAGCCTGGACATCATAGAACAAAGTGACCCCTGACAGGCTTCGGGTGCAGCAAAATGTACTCTCCAGCGGACCAACTCCCCTGGCATGTTATCTCTCTATTTGGCCAATTTCTACTCTTTCCAGCCGCCTCCCAAAGCCTGGTACTATTATAAGTGGTAGAGGCTGAAGGGGGCACACCCCTGTAGCAAGTTGAATCAACCCAATTCCATAGCATACTGATAAACAGTTTTGTATTGTAGCTGTTTCAAATTGTAGGCTGGTTCTAACTTTTTTTTGGTGGTACCTTACCAGGAACTCCTCACAAAGCTACATGTAATGTTTTCAGCTTATGACAAAAATTCTGGCAGGAAATGTCAATATCACACAGCTTTCCTCATCCAGAATATTTTTTGTGTTGCCGCCCTGAAATATTGTATGAGATGTTTTTATTAATTTCTATTCATATTTGTCCCTGTCAGAGCCCTGTCTATGATCTACAAGGCTCTAGAAGAGCGTCAGCAGGAGGAGATCTCAGTGAAAGTGTCGTACCTGGAGATTTACCAGGAGGTGGGGTATGATCTACTCAACCCTGCCAGCAAAACTGGAGTGGTACCTCAACTCAGCAAGGTGGGCAATGGTGGTGTGATATGTAAGGATTTAACCAATGACAGTGTCATGACAATACATGGTTAACCTTCTTCCAATTGCCTAACTCCTTACCTACTAAGTAAATAGGCAAGGTTAACCATGTATCTGTACATGGTTAACCTTTTTCCAATTGCCTAACTCCTTACCTAAGTAAATAGGCAACACAAATTTAATTTGTTGGTTCTCGGATTTTTTCAGAAAAAATATGAGGTGACAGGGCGAAACAAAAAATTAAAATAAAAATAAAAAACGGTCTAGGCATCCTATTATAGCCCCAAATGCTACGATAGGGGTCATGAAGTCAACACAAAAGGCTGGGTTAATATCTAAACAATGAATTATGAACTTTCAATCAAACCACTGCATTAGCAGATGGAAAAACTGTAAGAAAAGGACTTTCCTCAACTGTTGGGGGCAAAATATGAGCATTTTTGAATTGATGCAGAACCAGAATCTTTTTTTTTAAATCAGAAAAAAATGAAGAGGCGAATTCGAAAACCAACAAATTAAATTGGTGTGGCCTTAGCGTAGGAAAAAGTTGCAATTGAGAAAGGTCATAGCATCAACCATTTCTGTGTATTAAAGTGCTGGCTCTGTCCATATTCAGCTTCATACATGTAAATGAAAGAATGTGACTAAAGTTTAAACATACTTCCTGACTTTTACTGTGTGCTTAGATTGTTCAGGAAAAGTTTTTGGTGACATTACTTTCAATTGATGATGTTTGTTTCATGTCTATGGAAAGGACTTTTCAGAGAAGTGTACTGTGTGGTACATGCAAACAATGGTGACAGATCTTTTAACTTTCCTGCTACTCTTTTACAGGACTGTACTACATACTTTAGGCTACTTGGTAGGAACTTTTGCCTAGTATATACATGTAGTTTGATTTGGATAAAGGAATGCACTTCTAACAAAGGTGAACACTTCAGTCTAATCTGTTAACACAATGTACAGTGGAGTCATTATTAGTATGTCTTTTAGTGAAAGGGACACAAGAGGTTTGATAAATCTGTCATTATTTCATGCATGGTATGTCTGAAAAGTGATTTCTACATTTAGTTCGATCGTCCATCATAGTTTACATGTATATTGAAGCCCCAACTTTGTAGTTTAGTACACCGTCAGCCATCTAAACTATCATATAATGATGGACTAACGAACTAAGTGTAGAAATCACTTTTCAGACATACATGTACCATGCATGAAATAATGACAGACTTATCAAACCTCTTGTGTCCCTTTAAATGTAGATAAACTACTAGTTGGGTAGACTTGGTTGTGTATACTTTGCTAAAAGGGAAATTTTTGTCCCTTCTTTTGGGTGCAGTTGTATGTCATTTCGCAGCTTGAGTGGTATTGGGTGAAATGAAATATTAGGAGTTTTGTGATTCTATAAATTATTATCAGTATGGATGACTGTGTAATGTAACTTTCAGCTGTAAGAGTAATACTTGAAAAGATATATTTGATACCGGTATCTACATGTAGTACGGTAACTGTTATTATTATTAGTATTAGATATATAAGTACTGCTGTACTAGTTCTCAAATTACAGCCGCAGTACTTAAGTAATACACTTCTAGTATGTAATTGGTGAGTTTGTTAGTTTGTTGGTGTACTTGTCAGTTGCTTTACAGTTGTAACAGTCAAACTGCTTGACTGAAAAGAGACTGTCAGTAACTGATCAGTTGCTGACAGTCACATCTGTACTGGTGGATTCCTAAGGATTCATAAATGGGTGCTATTAAATCAAGTGTAGTGGCAAGAAAAGCTTAGTTTAAATCATTGCACAAAATTTTACGCACACCTTAAAGCATAAATGTTTCATTTTTCACTAGTTGTGTATAACTTTACGGAAGCTTTAGTAAGCACGTCGGCAGAACGTACTGCACCTGCGCGAAACCCGTAATGTATTGTGCAGCACTTCAGCAGAATGTCTCATATAAGGTTGTATTCGCTCATACATGTATAAGGTTAGCATTTCGACAGTAGTTTCCAAATGTTGTGTCAGAAAAGATATCCTCTGCAACAGTGAAAATTCTGATGCAACGTTGACCAAAAATCCAACTAAAAACGCAAAAATCCAGGGTTCTGCGCGCTGCCTGCGCAGTACGTTCTGCCGACGTGCTGCTTTAGTATGTGTTTAAAGCTAGAATTTCATATATGAGTACTTAGTATTTCTTTAATTGAATTGATATCTAACTTCATCAATTCATCCACAGGTGTCAGTAGTGGAGGGTGGAAAAGGGTACTATGTAGTCCGGAACCTGTCCACCCATCTGGCCTCCACGGAGCGCGTGGCCCAGAGCCTGCTGCTGCAGGGCCAGGCTAACAGGAAGGTGGCGGAGACGCCCATGAACCGGCGCTCATCACGGTCGCACGCGGTCTTCACCATCCAGCTGCAGGCCAAGGAGATCGGCTCAGAGGTCATCACAAGGTCATTAACACATAATTATAACATACTCTATCTCCCTGGAGTTTTCTGGTTTTTTTTTGCAAACCTGCACTGGTGAAGGTAACATTGAAAATTACCTGCAAATGACAGATTTTACCTGCACCACTCAGAGTAAAACCGTTCACAAATTTAACCATTGCCGTCATTTCTTTTATAATGTGACAGTCATTACAGCAGATGAAAATCCACAAACATGTACATTCAATTCTATACAACCACAGTATGTGGCCTTAAGTACTGGTTAGGTGCAGGTAAATATACTTACAACTTCAGTTTTACCTGCATTAACCTGCATATGCAGGACTCTGATTGATGTAGCAATGCTGTAGCAATCTTCAAATGTTGATATCTCTTATTAAAAAGAAAAATAGGATCTCCTTTCTTTATTGTTAAACCCTTACAAAGAATAAAGGTGTCTAACAGTTGGTAACTATAGCCATGTTAAGTGTTGAAGACTTGAAGTATGTGTGTTAAGCTGGTGTGTTACTCTGAAGGGCAGTTATCCCAGCTATACCAATACAGATATTCAATTGAACTGTCATCTTTTATATTATGTGAAAAATGTGAAGATTGACTTCAAATATGGGCTCTAACAAGCAAACTCTTCCTCCCTGTAGATCCAAGCTGCACCTGGTTGACCTTGCGGGGAGTGAGAGAGTGTCTAAGTCGGGTACCCGCGGGGCGCGGCTAGAGGAGGCCAAGTTCATCAACCTGTCCCTGCACCACCTGGAGCAGGTCATCGTGGCACTGCAGCAGGGAGCACGGCGTGCTGGGAAGGACAACTCAGGAATGAGGTAAGGACAGGATGTTGCATGCTGGGAACATTTAGGATTAGGACAGTCCTGGCATGAGGTTCTTCTATTGTGCTGTAAATCACTTTCAATTATATTCACAGTACTTTTATTTTCGCAATCGTGCCGCGAATTTATCATAACTGCGAACAAATGAGTTGGCAACTTTATTTTTTCTGCACCTGCTGCCTCTGCGAACATGTCCATTTTACTCAGACTGCAAATTTTGCAACTGCAGATATAAAGTGATTTACAGTATTTGGTAAATGATAGTTTCCGTGAGAAATTTCTTGGGAAAGCAAGATAAGCATTGAAACAGTGGCTCATACAAAATGAAGACCATGAAGGATTTTGTTGTGTTGTGTTGTGTTGATGAAGGTTAGACATCCAGGTTATGAAATACCAACCGTAATAGTTACTGGCAAGCAATTGGATAGATGTTGTAAATGGTCAGATGTTTCAGGTAGTATCCACTATCTTTCATCAGTGACTCAGGAACATTTTAACCTCACTGACAAAGGGTATGTATACGTAGATGCTGAAAGTCAGTTGACCGTTTTCAAAGCTATCCAGTTGCATGAGCAACACTACTATTACTTTGGCATAAATTTGTTGAAATGAAATTTTAACAAGACGTATTATATGTAAGATCTAATGATGAACAAGGTATGTAGAGTTAAACTTGTTAAATTATTTTTCTGTCCTAGTCGTAATGCCAGCAGCTTCAGCCTGGTGTCCCTGGCCATGTCCTCATTCAGCACTGTGAGCACAGGGAACAGGGAGAGACACATCCCCTACAGGAACTCTCTACTCACCATGGTACTCAGGGACAGTCTGGGTAAGTACAAACAAACAAACAAACAAACAAATAAATGAATACATACGTAGCTACACCTCCAATAAAGGTGGCATGCACTGGTCTTGGGGTTAGAGTTGTTAATGGTACAAAACGGTTTGGTTACAAATCCCAAATGTTGTACTCTTGAGAAAGGCACTGAATTTCACTTATTTCCTCACTCAACTCAGATGAAAATGCGTAGTAGCTTCACTTAGGAACGTCCTCTAAGATGAGATGTAAAGCTTTGCTGGTTGGGTCGAGTGTTTGAAAAGTCTCAGCCACATATTGAGCTTGTTTAAGAAGCCACCACACTTATTCAACTTGTAAAAGCACAGGCTGTAGTACGAAGAAACTTGCACCATTGCAGCTGTGTAGTTTTAACAAACAGGTTTTGTTTCTGTCCACAGGAGGAGCATTTTAACTTCTTCTTTGCTACCTAATGCTGTAACCATTAGTAATTGTAGCCATTGGCTACTTCCGTATTCTAAAGGTTAACTGTTGTTTCTACCCCCAGGAGGAAACTGTCTGACAGCCATGGTAGCCAACATCTCCATAGAACAGGACAACCTGGGAGAAACCCTGTCTACATGCAGGTTTGCACAGAGGGTGGCCTGTATCACCAACCATGCCAGGTGGGCAAAGGACACAGTCATTCAGTCTCCTAGCTTAGGCCTACAAAAAAATGTTGTGTTTCCTGTTTCCCGCCGACCAACCCTAGAAAAAACTGCTGACCCTATTCTTCTTTGTGTGACACCTGAGTGCTGAAATGTTGTACAATAGTATTGGTTTTTCAACATTAACAGAAGTGTCCTCATGCAAATTTTTAAACTGTATTGTGTACTAGTAAGTTGGATGATTAGAAATTGCAAAAGTCTGAAAAAAAAAGAAGAAAAAACGCACAAGCAGGAAACTCATATTTTTTCTGAAAAAAAAAAAAGATAGTTTGCAGTGAATGGCAATCCAGCACCAGGGACAGGGTTATTTATGCATTAATGGGTTACATCTGTTGGTGTTCAGCACCAAGGACAGAGCCATGTAGAATGGAGATAGTGCTGGGACAAAGCAAGGGATGGCAGTCCAGTACCAGGGACAGGGCTATTTTAGATGTGACTGGATTACAATGTTGGTATTCAGCAACAAGGACAGAGCTATGGAAATGGTGATGGGAACCAGGAAAAGGTTTCATTGTGGCTGCTACTCACCACAAGATTTAGCTCCAAGTATAGACTATAGGGACTATCTAGTTGTAAAAGTGTGGATAGGTGAACATTTCCTTTTTTGTTCTCAGGAGCCTCAAATACACATTCCAGGGCGTAGACTTCTCCACATACATTTGGGGTGGTTTGATTTATTAAAATTGCAACAGTGCAATACACATGGGACAAAGGAAGCTGTTGCTGGTGTTGTGTCCTGCACATAGAAACAAATACTGGACAGATTATACTCATTTTCATTTGAGTTAAGTGGGGAAAGTTGTGTTTAGTGCTTTTCCCAAGGGCACAAGATCGGTGGCATGTCAGGACTCGAACCCGGGACCTCTTGGTTCTGAGTTGAGCATGCTGCCGTTGCGCCACACGACCTCACCATTTAGTATCTGCCAAACTTATAGTCTCTTCATGCATGTCTCTGTGTGCTTTCCTACAGTCGTAATGAAGAACTAGATGACAAGATGGTGATTAAGAGACTGAAGAGGAGAGTAGCAGAGCTGGAGGCTGAAGTCAGATGTCTGAAAGCCGGGCTACCTCCAGGACAGGTAGGGACCAAACTATTAGGCTTTCACAGACTTTTGAGGTGTTGTTACTATATAATAGATGTTTTTTTCAGGCTCTCTTTTTGATTTGTACATAATATACAAAACTTACATGTACATGTACATATAAACCAGTTAAAAGTTCTCATTTACATGTACATAATACAAATTACAAATATTTAGCTTGCATATTATAAAACTTTGAAGTTTACAAAACTATAAATTTACAAAAATGGACTAAAAGTTGGCTACTCATATTCAAAGTATTCCAATTAATATCTAGATGCCGTCATTTAATAAAAGATTGATAAGGCCACACCAATTTAATTTCTTGGTTAACGGATTCGCCGCTTCATTTTTTTCTGATTTGCAAATAAAAATAAAAATTTAGAATCAACTGTAAAATGCTCATATTTTGCCGTGAACAGTTGAAAACAGTCCTTTTCATACTTCTTGTTTAAGTCATTCCATCTTTCAATGTAGTGGTATCATTAAAAGTTCAAAATTCATTGTCAAAATTTTGAACCAGCCTGGTGTGTTGACTTCATGGCTCCTATCGTACCATTTTGGGCTATAATACAATGCCTAGGCCTGTTTTTATTTTTATTTTTTTTCGCCCGCCCGCTCCATTATTTTTCTAGAAAAATCCGTTAACCAAGAAATTAAATTGGTGTGGCCTAAGGAACTATTTTGGTAAGTTTGCTACCTGGATCATATTTGTTGCTTTGCTGGTAACCCTCCCGCTGACATTGCCCCTTTGTTGTGGTAACCATTAATTGTTGGTTTTCCTTCATGATGCAATTTTTCCCTTCATGATAAATAGAAAGCAGACAAGGAGAGTTCCGAGTCCGACCCCCTGCAGCCTGTCCAACTGTCGGAGGCAGACAAGAAGAAGTGTGCTCTGGTCATGCAGGCCTTCCTGGTGGGCAAGGTCAACGACCCCGTCACTGCAGGTCAGTTTTATTTATTTTTCGCACAAAACAGGATACAGGGTGAAGTAAATGAAATTAAAAACATTGTGCAGGAGAAGATGAAGCCTTACAGGCTTATGCAAGCCCTTCTCATTGGACATAACAAATAACAATGATCACAATTAAACTGATTAACAGAAATACTTGAAATGAAAATCAAGGCAAATGACAAGAAACAGCTTTAGCTGTGCAAAACATCTTTAGCTAGGAGACTGGATAGCTGTTGTATCATTTCACTCATTACCTGTGTCACACATTCAGAACCTTTCCCCAACCACCAACCAAGGTGTGCTGAAGTTTTGGAGCAGCCTGACCAGCTTTAGGCCACGTCTATGTTTCTAATATGAATGGCATCAAATTGAGTGAAATTTGACCCTTGAGCATACCTCAAAGACTAGCTAACCTACATGTACCTCCGAACACCAGCCAACCACCAACCAACTATGGCCGAACCTCCCATCCACACCCGACTGTTTCTTAAAAACCCAGGTTTTGTTCATCAAAAATAAGTTGAAATAGTAGCTGACGTTGCCAAACACCAGCCAACCACAGCTGACCTTGTTTGACCATGGTTGGGGCAAGTTTGGCAGTGTTCAGCAGGCCTGATATTCGGCTATGTGTGACAGGGGCTTTATCGTCTTGTTCCCTGTCTCTTGATAGTTAGCCATACCTGTACATGTATGTGGATGCTGAGGCTTGATAGAAGCCTGCCATGTGCCTCTGTCTTGTGGATTCACTTTGTACAGCTCTGAGGTGGACTGCTCCCAACCTGTTTGAATTCATTCTTGTATTCGCCAAAAAAACAGTTACTCAAGCAACTGGATATGGCTTACTGTACCAACGTTTGTTCAAATTCCCCTAGCTCTTTAATTTCAATGTACAAAGTACAATGAACAGTTCTGACTATGGCCTTACATTCCAGCCTAAGGACTATGCATGCTCCTAGCAACTAGAGAGTGATATTAGATAGTTTATTGTATTTTCTCTATCTAAGACTCATTTTTGGTCTAATCTTTCAGGAGTGAACAGTCCGCACATGTTCCGTGAGTATTTCAGACTCAGTTTTCCTCATGTTTCAGGAGTGAACAGTCCGTACATGTTCCGTGAGTGTTTGCGGGTCCTGAGGGAGCTGGTTCTGAAGGGGATGGGCCGCTGGGTTTCGGAGACTTCCCTGGAGTCCTCGTCACGTCCGATCAGCCAGCAGACCACGCTCACGGCCAGCAGTGGCTTCGACGAGACGCCTGTCAAGACAAAGCCAAGCAGCTACCGTCTGTTTGAAGGAAGTGCCAAAAAGTCTGCTAGGTATGGAAAATGATTTTAAGTCCCGTTTTTTCAAGAATGCTGTCTTGTTGTCAAAGGATATCAATGATGAAACATTTTTCACTGAAAGTTGTCTGTGGGGAGAGAATAGGCTGCATCCACATACAAACAGTAAGATGTGTTGAACAGCAAAAAATTTTGTGGGTTGCAATTTTTATATTACATTACAGCTATGTGATGGGATACCGCTAGTTATCACACGGGCCAGAACCTCCATATCAAACATTATCATGGCCCAGGTATGACATAGAAATATATTGCACACAGTTAGCAAGAGTTTTACAAAATGATACGTACATTATTACTTGTCAAACTGCTATCTAAACCCTGCCATATTTTCCCCAGTAAATCCAGGATCAGAAGTGCGCCCACCCCCCATCACAAGTCTGACCTGCCCACAGATAAACCCAAGAGCGGCACCTCACGGGATGCCAACACACCCGCCAGGCTGTCTGTACAATCAGGTAACTATGTCATCAGAGCTCAAAATACTGGTTGTTTGTGCACCTTACTGCACCCTGGGCTGTGCACCCAGTTTTTTTGCACCCAAATATTTCTGTAGGTTTGCGTTGTAAAGATTTTGAATGTATACTAGCATACGGAATGTTCTACATTTAAGGCCACACCAATTTAATTTGTTGGTTCTCGGATTTGCCTCTTCATTTTTTTTCTGATTCGCAAAAAAAAATTCTGGTTCAGAATCTACTAAAGAATGCTCTACGTTCTAGTTCATTTATATTCCACCTTTATGTCCTATTCATGAATATGTGGCTTTTGTCTTTAGTTGTTCTTGAACTGTGTCTTTTATTCTGGATGTTGTATTACATGTATCCTGCAAAATGCAGTGAAAAGCAATTTAGAAATTTAAAAAAAAATAGTCTATTTTAAACTTATGATCAATTGTTTCCTACACAGAACCAGTGTCTCCCAGGCGGAAGGACCAGCCCAAAGTTAAGACACCGTTCGAGAAGAAACGAGAGAAACAGATTCGCACCATCAGCAAGAAACTGGAGAAGAGTCAGGTGGAGCACCTGGAGCAGAGGAAGCACCTGGAGGAATTCCAGCAGGACATCAGGTGCCAGCAGCTGGAGCTGGTCAGGGGGGAACTGGAGTGAGTTCTTGTTTATACAGTAACTGTTATGTTTTTAGACTTCTTTCTTTTTTTAATGCTTTCTTTACAGAATGTTTAACATCTGGAATGATCTGAAGTAACTGTTGTAAGAGCACATGTTAATTAGTTTATATTTGACATATGCCAAATTATATTACTTTCTAATTGTGAATTATGAGTGTATCTAATAATTTTGTAAATGTTATTTTCCTGTTTGTTGTGCAGTATTGTATTAATGTAGGACCACAGGAAGAATAGAAACTATATGACTGTATATATATATATATATATATATACAGTACTACCAGGGGTATGCTAATTGTGGATCCAAATAAACTGTTTTGAAATATCTGTTTTTAAGTCCCGTAGTCTGAGAGAGTAAATTTCCAGATTTAAACTTTCAGAACCATCCAGAAAAAAGAGCTCTTTTGCAACAAATATTTAACTTGAAGTTAAAAATTGGTTGCAAAAAGATGTACATGTATTTGTTAATCACTAAATATATACAATGTATTGGCAATTAGCAACACTTGACTAATAATAAAACAATGACAAAAGAATCAAATACATTGATCTACTTTAAATTTATATATCACAGCCCATTGTTAAACTGAATCAAACCTTTTCATTGTTAATATTGTCCTGCACAGGAGTAAGATCTTCCTGACTAAGGAGCAGCTCGCCCGGCAGCATGCGTACGTACTGCAGCTGAAGCACATCCACACAGATGAAGAGACCCTGGCACAGGAGAAACTGGTGCAGCAGCAACTGCAGAAAACTCTGGTACGAACAACAGTTAATTTGCATCTACAGCCAAAACTGTCATCAGAAGGTAACTAGGGACCTACAAAATCTGGACTATGTGGACGGGTGGTCACCATAGATAGAATTCTTTTAATCAGATAATGCTTGTGTCCGTGGGAAAAATCACTAAGGGAACACAAAGAAGTGGTCACATCGGCCAGGTTGTTGTTATGTAGAGGTGACCACCTGTAGTACATATTTGACTGTACTTGTATGCTACAGTAGTACATGGAGCAACTTCACCAGTCAATCTCCAAGCAGATATTTTTGTGGGTGCAAGAAATTAATATGAAAATAGCCAGACAGCATCAAATTGGCTAGACAGCATCAAATTTGCCAGGCAATTACTATTTGCCACCTGTTTGGCTGGCATTATAGAAAAACTTACCAGTGAGTACAAAAAAGGAAGCCTGTCATTGTTAAAAACACCGAAAAACATGATTGTCAAAAATAAGCTGAAACCTAAACTGCTGCTTTTCTAACTAGAAAGCTGTAATGTTATGTACTTGTTAGACTGGAAAAACTTCTTTTTACCTGAAGACAATTTAGAGTTTGTATTAACATGTAATTAGAGCACTGCATCAGTTACAGTAAGGACACCTGGATAAAGAAAGTCTTGTGTTTCTATGTATTAAGTGTGTCTTACATTTCTGTAGAGTAAGGCAGAGAAGAGACTTGAGTTGGTACAACAGCACCTGGAAGACATGGAAGCCAAGGAACGATCCCAGAATGCCCTGACTCCTTCAAACGAGGGAGTAAGCAAGGTGTCCAGTGCCAAGTCCTACAGGTGAGAGTTGCAGACAACTTTCAGTGAACTGGTAGAATTTTTTATCTTTATTCAACATAGTTGTAGCCATACATTGTACCATGTGCAATTGTCATGCAATAAATTTCTATAAGCGGTGTGAAAATGTGATTTCTTTGTTTCTTGCAGGTCCTTCTTGTCGGAGCCTTCAACCGTTGGGCAGAACGGTTCCCCCCTGTTATCAAATGGAGAAGTCCACAGTGCCAAGTCCAGGAGGAGCAGCGAGGGAGTTGCAGTACCAGTCCCGGTCAGAGGGGGCGCTGTGAGCAGTAGACAGGTCCTGGAGCAGCTGAAAATGGAGCAGAAGAAACAACAGAAGGTAAGGATGCTGCTAAGGGAAAATATAGACATGAATTGTACTGTGTGAACTTGTGAATGTTTGGCTTTGAGGTAACACATTAGGTCTTGCACATGAAACAGTACCCTTTGAAAAATGCCAAAGTGGCTATTTGGTTTCCTGGCTAAAGAAAGAATAAATGAAATTTAACTAAAATGGCTGAAGTGCCGTTTGTTACTTCCAAAATATTTTTCATCAGTAGTGATGTTAAACAATGATAGGGTACTTTATCTTTGACTGAATTTCCTTACATTTCAAATTGTATGGATAGATTTCTTTCTCAATTTCTGTGCATTTTCTGGAGTACCCCCCAGTAATACTTTCTGGTAATACCTGCCATGTAACAGAAAACAGTGTTAGAAATACCTATCAGCAGTTTGCATTTTTGCAGGGACAATTTGCAGAAATTATTTCTGAATTGCAGAACAAAATTGTGACATTCTGCAATACTGCAAGGCAGTGAAAAATCAGTATTTCTACCACTGGGAACATATCAAAGTCTGACCCTTCTTAATTGTCCAACAGGAGGAGAAGAAGATCCACCAGGAGCGCGTCCTGACGATCAGCAAACAGCTGGAGCTGAAAGAAGCCGCCACCAGACAGAAGCTGCAGGCGCTCAAGCAGATGTTGAAGGGTCCCGGACAGGGGCGGCCGCCGGTTACCGCATGGGGTGGCTCCACCAGGGGCCAGTCTAACGCTGACCCTGGGACCTCAGCTGTCTCAGAAACAGGCCTGTCACAAAGTCCTGGGAAGGGCGGAACTGGAGGTGACGTGTCAGGAGGGTACATCCCTTACACCAGCCGAACGCCGGATGTACCGGTCAGGCCAAACAGCTTGTACACCATTGAAGATAACGAGAGCACGCGTAGCACCGCGAACACTGGCAGCTTGAAAGAAGGGGACATGACTGGGAAGACGTTTATGACTCAGTCCTATGATGACGATGATGGTTTTCAAGACGTTGGTGACCGAACTTTTACTAGAACCCTCACTAGTCCTAGAGATGGGAACACTAGTTATGAAATCTCGAAGGACGACAGTGCCGATGTTCCTACGTGGAAGCCACATTCCTTAGGGTATGGGACTTCCCAGGGAGCTTTTCTTCCAGTCAAACCCAGGCAGCAAAGAGAGCTGTTTGAAACGCCAACATCTCAGCCAGTCAGAGACTCGGCTGCAAAATCTAGAGAGGGGAATACAAAGAAAGCTGCAGTAACGGATCCACATGCTTCTCCCCAAAAGACGTATGCTTCTGAGGGGGGCAGAAATCATTCAGATTCTGTTGGAGATGACTCTCGCCATAAGTCTGGAGAGTTCAGTGCTTTTTCCTTTGACCCGAGCCAGTTTTCCCTGTCTTCGAAGACCTTCGACTCAGCCCTGCAGGAGATGCTTCAACAGGGAGACCCAACCACGGCAAACCAGCTATCCAGGGGATCTGCTTACAGCAAGAAGCCAAAGTCCGGTATATCCAGTGTTATCAGCGTAACCAGTAGCGAAAGTTTGGGGCTGTCTCGTGAGTCCACCATGTACGACGACGCAGATTCCGCAAACTACAGGAAAGACTCGCGGCCCATAACGGCGGAAAGCCATGGTACGTGGTACAGCGGAACTCCTGGCAAGGCGAGCGCAGTCAGCTCAGATGGAGGAATGGACAGGCAGACTACACAGGCTTTGTTTGAGGGGAAGTTGTCTAAGTACCTGGGTGGAGCTCAGCACGAAGGAATTGAAGACAGCACAAATCGTCATGGTGGTAAGTTTCATGAATTTTGAACACTCCATTACAGGAATAAATGCTACCCTTTCACTATAATTCTTTGCCTGTAAGGAATTGCTCTCTTCATTGCATAGTTTGTCTTCATGCAATCTTTATTACTTATCTACAGGTCATTACCTTTGCCAAGAAGGTTATATTTTTGGTAGAGTTGTATGTGTGTGTATGTGTGTGTCTGTAAACACAATAACTCGAGAAGGCTTCTTTCATCTAAGATCATTGTCTTGTATTTAATAGGTGGATAGCTCTTGATTTTTCTCCTACTGACTACCATCACTCACATAATCTGTACATGTGCAGAAAATCTTATGTTAATGTAATTTATTCCTCTAATTTAGATTCAGGGACCTCACTGGATCAGTCAACTACAGGACAATCTCAAGAAGGTACAGCCCAAAACTCCGCCACTCCCGAGGGCCCCTCCCAAAGCGCCTTCCTCCAATTCCTCAATAAGAGTCGCTCCGTCTCCCCTTCCCAGCGCACAAGCTCCAAGACTCACAAAGACGGAGGAAGCGTAAAAGTCAAAACCACGGTCATGATAGAGGAGACCACGCCCAGACGGATCGAAGCGGAGAAGGAGAACGATCGAGAGCGTACGTACATGGACACGGTACGGGAACAGAAGGAGAGGGTGGAGAGGATACGCCGGGCACGTAGTGCCGCCGAGACCATACAGCTGGCGTGGAGGAGGCACAGAAGTAGATTAAAAGCTGCTTGAAATAAGCTTCCATGTTAGTATGGAAGTTCCTCTGAGTAGGTAAAAAATTACATAATGTAACGATTTAACTGTTTTCCAACTTGAAAGAAATTGGGCTTGCAGAAGGCATAGAAGTCAATTAAAAGCTGCTTGAAATAAGCGTTCATGTTCAAATGAAAGTTTTGCATCAATTCACATATCCAGCTTTTATGTTGCAAGTTCTTTCAGTGCTTTCATACTAATTTTCTGAGACTTTCTGATAATTGAACATGGAACCTAACAGAGGAGAGCATGGGACCAGCCCCTGGCCTAGGCACTTACATGTAGGAGTACTAATAGGTAGGTAGATAGGTTGGTAGGCAGCTAAATTTTTGCAAAAATGTTAATCTTATCGCAGATGGTTCAATTTTGGAAGTCTTTATCCTAAACTGTCAGAATTCGCAGTTATGAGTACCCTACATGTTCTTTGTATGTTTCAATTTTTTAGAGCACAGTTGCTCATTGAGTCTTCTCAGCATAAGTATGATAAGAAATATATCTTTAGGTTAATTGATAAGACTCAGGGTGCACATGAAAGTATTAATGTTGTAAATGATTTTGTATCAGGATAATGTAACAAATTGACCACTGTGGAAATTGAATGTAAATTATGAGTACAAAGTTTATGTTTATTTTGGTTTAAGATTTATTAAGACAGTTTATAACATTGATAGCATATTGCTGATGTCTTCAACATTGTGTTAATGTTTTGTCAAGTAACAAGTAGTTCCATTTTAGGATGCAAAATGTATTCGACTTTGAGCAAGCTATAGAAGTGGGCCTTTGCTGAACAGGACTGTACCTAGGCTTGAGTAGACTAGTGACTTTCTGGGGACACTTTTCTAATACACTGCGTAATACAATCACTTTATGTACTGTACATACATGTAGTACAATGTTCGTGCATATGGCATGAGAACTCCTGTGATTAATAATAATGAAATAGTTTATTTTCCTAGTAGATATTTTATGACAAAGATTTTAGATAAATCTATGCAGACCTATTGTGTATATTTTTGTAGAACTGTGTCAAATATTGGTTTATTTTAGAGTAGATGTCTATAAAGCAATATAGAGCAAGTAGTATATTTTTGTAGTGAAGGAAGGTGTGGTTAATAAAACATTACGAAGATTCAGTCTTTGGTTGTTTTACTGCATGATTACGTTTAGGTGCGCTTAAAATAATTATATAACATACAGTATATCTAAATAACTACAAACACGACTCAGTGTTAAGCACGCAACATGGTCGCTATTGTTGTATACAGAACCATGCTTTATCCAAAGTTATGCTCAGGCACGGGTCAGGATAGTTCCTTCAGGGGAAGATGTAATACATCTTGTTATTGGATACTCGGAGACTATCCATAAACGTGTCTGATTCAAACTCTAAACCATTCAGGCATAGAACTAGATAGGCACGGTTCTGAATACGATACTACTGTATTCAAATAGTGATTATTAATTATTACATCTATGAAAAAATAGTATACAGACTTGTAATACAAGATAGGCGGTGGCTGTCATGTCTGGGAGGTACAGTTTATTTGTATATATGTGGTAATTTGTATTTTGATTTGTAACTATCAACGGCATTCATGCTACTCTGTATATGTAGGTCTACGTCTGCAATGTTGATATGCCAGTAAAGAATTGGATAGAAAACCATATATTGAATGAGAATAAAGACAGAGGAACTTATAACTTGTGTTACGTTGACCTTTGATGGTTCTGACATTTTTCTCGAAGGCAATAAAAACTTAAGTTCCCCACGACGCAGTTAATAGATGCAATGTAAATAAGTTGGATGGTGGGATTGTAAAAGGGGCCACCTGAACCATAGACCGATCTTTAAGCCCCGCCCACCTCCAGTCAAAACATAGACATGCAAATATTTGACGAACTCGCAGCCACTCTCTCATTGGTTGAACCCGCTAATTGCCCTTCTCTCATTGGTTGAACTTCTATTTGTGAGAGACATTCCGGGGGGATCGGTCTTATTCTGACAGGTGTTTCATAAATCTTCTCACGCGTAATTGGAACCAATGACGAGCGTTGGATGTCTGACTGGATCATCAGACTACAAACAGTGACACCTGTTTGTGGTGTTTTCGGAGCACATCTGTACATTTTCACCTGGCCAAAGTTGTACGTAAAGCCGAGACCACGCTTCAGTAGAGCATACGAGCAGTCTGGCCTGCCGACTCACCACGTTTCTTCTGCCCTGTTGGTTTGTGAGTTTGTCTTGAGGCTGAACGCACTCTGTGAAGTCGAAAGATGGGTCCACGGTGTGCTATTCTGTTGCTGTTTCTCTGCGGCCTTACCAGAGGTAAGATTTCACAATGCATACATGTACATATCCATGTGCCGTTCCAGTTTTTCCAGTTTGTATCGTTCAAAACGCTCAGTCGATACCCACAAGTTGGTCTTCCGTGTGATACAAAATGGCTTGAGAAGTTTCGTTCGTGGCCTGTTTCTACATGAGTGTATCTTCCATGTTATATATAGCGAGTTGTGTTCCAGGGATGCAAAATTGTTGGTCGGTTCTACATACATGTAGCTCATAGCACACCGAGTATTTATCAAAGCCAGTTAACACGTGTACCATGTGCTATATCAGTAGCGCTACCAATGGCCGTTCCTTACATGTATTTCCAACTACACTTGGAGCCTGACTAGTATCGGGCCGATAGCCGGTTTCCTTCGGTAGCCAAGAGCACTACGCCCGCCTATCTAAATTACCGCTACGTCGGACTTGAATCCTAGTTCCCAGGGTAGTTTCCAACGTATTTCGTATATTTTTTGCAGGACAAGAGTCTCTGTGGTCCAATGGCGTCTGGGAATACGTCAAGGTGCAGGCCACGGGACCCATGACGTCGACCAACGTGAAGACCACGTGCGAGGGAGCGGGGTTCGCCACGCCGTGCCCCGGGGACGGCTCGTGTGACTACTCCTCTTCCGACTGCGTCCAGACGGGGCTCACCGGCTGTATCCACCCGATGGACGACATCTCCCAGGCCCTGTGCAGCAACAACCCGCGCTACTGCCCGCAGCTGGAGGGGGTGTACACCTACATGGCCGGCTGGGAGGACGGCGCCGCCTGCGGGGCGGAGAGAGGCAGCTGGTGTACCGTAGGGACCGGCTACAGCGACCGCTTCGCACTCTGCGCTAGAGGTACGTCTGAATTATGAGAAGAATGCTTTCATATTTGTCACACAGTTGTTGATTTAAATATATGGGTGACATGATTTGGAAACGCCAAAACATTATGCGACCGTGCGTCAAGAATTTTAAACAAATAACAAAGCATACAGCGAACGATACTCTTAAATTTTGATTTCCTCACATTTTTGACATTCAACAGTAGTATCGTTTTCCAAATTAGACATTTTAAGTATTATTTTGACAATTTACGACATGTATTTTGCAGCCGCTTTGTATTTGTGGTCGAAACTTGTTTGAAAACGGACAGAATTTCAATGTGCGCACGGATGTCATCCACATAATCAAATGAACATGGACTAAGATTATCAGCTGAATGGTAAGATTGCGAGGATTCGCGTTTGGAATTTATATATTTATGACGATGATTCTATGTGATACTTTTTCGGTTTGGAACATCTGGATTTTCAGAGTACTAAGTTTCCGTTGTAGATTGTGTTCTCCGTTCATCTAAATAAACAAATCTTCATATAGAAAGTATATAAAGACTTGAATCTATTGAGGCTGCAGTACCAAGGCTGCAGTACCAGTTCTAAACACTAGGTGGCATTGTGTGATGGTCAGCAGGAAACTCTGTCCTTGGTGCTGAAAGCATGATCGACCAAAGCTAGTTTATATATGTCATCGTCTAAACACCTGGTGATTGAGAAACTCTGTGAATTCGTATACGCATGTCTCAAGAGGAGAGAAGAAACTAGTAAGCTATTGTAAGCTCTAGAGTTACACGAATTATAGTATACAGTAGCTGTTTGTTTTGTTTTTCTTATACAATTCCCTATGTACTAGTAACTAGTATCATCCAATATGTTATATCATTCAGTGCATTTAGCCCGGAAGGGCATGAATATGCAATAAACATCATTTTCATTGTCATTCGCACAAGAGTACGCATACACACGTGTACTAATGTCTACATTTTCGAACGTTTTTCCGCAGATCTGTCTGACCAGTGTGCGGAGGCTCCATGTCAGAACGGCGGCACCTGCACGGACACGGGAGGCAGCTACACCTGCGACTGTTGGGCCGCCTGGACCGGGGACAACTGCGAAACAGGTTAGTGTTAATGTTCCATGAGTTCAGAATACTGAAAAATGTGACGTGAACGAAAAAATGTTTGTACTTAATTGTTATTGTACGTAATTGTTATAGTCCTATCTGTAAACTTATTTATCTGAAATATGTAAGTTTAAACTCAAATATACAATAGAAGATTTTACGATGAATTAAACAAATGTTATATCAGGCACTTCAGTTTTGTAGTGTGAAATCCACTTAAAGCAACCCCCATATGAAATCATGGTAGATGAATTTTCCCCTTCGTGCATAATGTTAATTTGTTATATCGGATGAATTTCTAATTAAGTTATCCAAACGTGGCTGCGTTTACACTTTAGCGTCTAGTTAATAGCGTTAGCTTCTAGTTAACCGCGTTAGCTTCTAGTTACTAGTACTTGTTGTTGGGTCCACACATCTTATAATACGTAACTTTAACTTTCACTAGTAATTCAATGGATATTCTGACGCGAGCAGTTTTACAATTCTGACGGGAGCAGTTTTACAGTTGATTGTTTCATGCCCCCCTCCCCACAGATGTGGATGAATGTCTGCAGACCCCCTGTCAGAACGAGGGCACCTGCACCAACACAGCTGGGAGCTACAGCTGCAGCTGCACGGACGGCTGGACTGGGCAGAACTGCGGTGATGGTAAGGGGTTCCACGTGAGGGCTTCTCTTGTGGTGCTGGTATATACCGGCTTGCGCTACTCTCCAAGCAGATGTCTGGGTTTTGGCTTAATTTTGGCTTGTTTTTAGGCTTTTTTATGGGGCTTTCTTTTTTGCAATCGTATTTCTTGGGGTTGGCGTAAAAAATACCAATGTAAATAAGAAAGCCCGACAAAGCCTAAAACGCCAAAATTAAGCAAAACCCCAAACCTCTGCTTGAAGGGTAGGCTTGCGCCAAGTATGGTCAAACCATCAGCTCTTGTGCAGAATAACCAGTCTCCACTGGTTCCTGCCCTGAGCGTTGTCAAAAGTTCCCGATCTTTGGCCAGTGGACTCTTCAGATTTTCCTTATGCAGATTTTCCTTATCTTCTCCTTGGTTAACATTTTCCATGTTTTGTTACAGATGTGGACGAGTGTGCGAACAGTCCTTGTGCGAACGGCGGCGTGTGTGCGAACACCCCCGGGAGTTACACCTGCACCTGTTCGGGAAGTGCCATCGGCCAGAACTGCGAAACAAGTAAGTTTCAGCTTTCGTTTTTTTTTACCAATTGCATAAGTTTTGTATCACCGTATTTTGGTATCTGGGACTTTATTGACGAACTGATGGCTTGATAACTGGTGTACGACAGATCTAGATGCGCAATTTTTCACTGCTTATAAGGAAGGTAATACTATGCATAACGTATCGCTTATTTTCGATGCCCGTAAGTTCGTATGCTCCCTGCATTGTTCCATCAAATACTACCGAAAAAAATATTGTTCAATGTGATAAAAAACATAACACTAGCAAATTCTCGGTAAACAGTTGATTTTTTCAAGATGATGCAGATTTTTTTATTTTCCTCAGTCCTGAACGACGTCAGCTGTTACCGCTTGTCTACGGACGCGAAGACCTTCTTAGACGCGGACGGATATTGTAAGACTCTGGGCGGGTACCTGACTAAAGTCACCGGCCTGACGGAGCAGTCGTACCTGGGGCAGCTGATCCAGCAGGGAACCGCCGTCTCCCACTGGATCGGACTGAAGGGCACGGGGACAACTTTCGAGTATGCGGACGCTTCCCCCATCAGTGGTAAGTTTTGTCTGCGGAATTCAACGGTTTCATAACTCAAGGAATAGTATTTCACAATACAATACCAATGCGTATGCCTAGTGTCAAAGATTAAGTCCCGTGAAGTTATTAGATGATAAAATGATAATTAATGCACGTTCTCGCATGTTTTGTTTGTTTTACGTCTTGTGGACCTGTTACTTTTGACAATTTATCCATAACGTATCATTACTGCACAAGCGCAGTCTTGTTTGTGAACCATCTTTCTAAATCGTGCGGCCTAGCTGTAAGCTTGCATGGTGTAACGTCCTTCCAGTATCTAGTACTTACTTTAAGCACTGCCTAGCTTGTACATTGCTTATAGTAACCTTGTAACTGATAATAGATGTACATTGCCTAACCTTGTAACTGATGTGCAGATTATACACAGGCTTATATGCTTAAACCTGGTCTTATTACCTCCGGGTAGGGATGTATATCCCGAGCGCGGAGGTTTTGTGAGGGAAGACGAAAATTGCGTTCGCACCCGTTTCTCGCGTTTGGGTGGACGGATATGTCTGGGACTTGGTATACGTTTTGCTGTTGGGCTGTAGATGGTGCACGTTGTTTTGGTTTTTTAGTATGTGTGTTTTAGTGCGTGAAAATGATGCGTTTAGACCGCCGATGGACACCCCTTTCAGTGTGAAAGTGGGCCTCAGCTTTTGACCTTTGCATGTATAATCACCATTGAGGTCGCGACCACTGATCTGACCTTTCACACAGAGGGGTGTCAGCATTCTTTGAAACTGTTCAGATGTGAACCACATGTGCCGTCAATCAACGTCTCGTGCCTGGTGGGATCGCGCGGGTCGCAGCCAGCGAACTTCCGGGTGGGCCAATGGGTCAGGGGTCAACGCCCTCTTGCGCAATTTCGGATGTTTTCGGCTTACAAATACCGTGGTATACTGTCTCAGACGTTCTCGGGACTCGGTGTATCTTCTGTTAATGGGCTGTAGATGGTGCAGGTTTTTTTGTTTTATTGTATATGTGTTTTGGGGCGTAAGATTATTTGTATTTCCTTTTCGTGTCTCGGACACCCGTTACTGTGTTTGTTTACATTATCGCTGGTCGCTGAGGGTCGGGCAGCCAGATTCGCCACGGGATGCCTCCTGTCCTTTCTATTTTTGGGCTCCAGTCGGCTAGGGGGGATTAGTGATTTCACACATCATTTAGCCAATTACAAACATTTCGAAACTTTTCGAAAAAAATGGTATTCGCGCGAATTCACTAGTTAATTCAAAGAACAGTCCCAACATGCACCCAACATTCTGCAACATACATTACAATACCCGGAGGTACAAAATCTACGATTTTCCTTGTTTGAAATATTTTTTATTTGAGCTCGAATTCAATTTGTGAACATTTAAAAAAATATTTGTATTTGATCTTGACTTGAATTTGTGAATGAACTGTACCATCCTATTTTGCGCAACTAAGTCGGTCTTTTGAGACAGTGACTGATACAGGGTTATCTCGAGTACAACGATTGAAATGAGCATGATTAGTTGTAGCTCAATGCCGTTCTTGTGTGAACTTTGTTTCCAGGGGCTTTGCGGTGGATGCCGGGGAAGCCGGAGAGCCTGTGTGTGAAGTTAGATGAGAACGGGAACTACGACCTGAACGCGGACTTCTGCAGCGGACTGTACAACTACATCTGTGAATCTGGTGAGTGTTAATGGTAGCCTGGTTACCAGACCTATTTTAGCCCCCCCCCCCCC